TATAACCTTTAGTCTTTTTTCGTTTTCCCCCTTATGGTTATCGCTTTTCAGTRTCGTCGCTAACATTATACCATTTAAAAGACATACCATTGCATTCAGCTTTAGGACATTTCTGCCGATCTTCTTGGACCCCAAAAAAATTTGCTCCAGGACAAGCAGSCGTATCAGATGAAGCACAGAACCTGTCACGCTTTTTTCCGCAGGAATCATCGCAAGGACCAAAGTCGCTCCATGAGCTCCAACCATGAGAAGGTCCTACATAAAATATGTTTTAAATAACCCCAAATATATGAATCAGACGATGAGCGATTCTTCCAGAAGGAATCAGTTACATGTTAAATTACCATAATAATTACCTGAGCAATCATACAAAGCATTAACCTCGAAGATATCCGTCTTGCTAAAACCTTCCCTTTGTCCGAGGGTGGCATCTTTGTTAGGACCATAGCCTCGYATGGTTGGCTTATTGTTCTTTGAGAAGCTATAACTGCCGTAATGCATAATGCTTTGGTAATCGTATGGCTTGTTTAGCATATTAATTTCAGAGTGGTCGAATTTTTTGAAGCTTCCCTCTTTTCCTTAAAACATGGAGGATAATATGATTAACAWGCATARCTAAAGTRCTGAGAGCAATACTCCATTTTCGAATTCAAAGCGAATAAACGTTGTTTTATTTGACAACATATCTTCTTGCGCAAAGACCTGCGGACCAAATACAAACGAAAGTACGAAAAAATGTCGTTATTACAACAGTTTTGAAACTTTGCATTCTCTCCAAATTTAGACTAACTGTGTATATCCAGAAGGTCTAATGTTTAATTCTTTTGGCAATAGAGGGTTAGCCTCAACTCGGAGGAAATGAAAWTTGTTAGGGCTATTGTGTTTGCAATATTTTCTCGTGCTTTGTGTTAGGTAAAGTCTTTAGTTGYGCAAGCCGAATCTGTTTTCAATACAACTAAAACAGCGGTTATCCACTGAATTCGAAAATGGAGTATTAGTATTGACTTTACCTGCTAAGATATTTTCCCACATTATTTCAATGTATTTATCTCTGTCAGGCCTGGACTGCTCGTGAAAAAAACCCAAAGCATGAAGTAGCTCGTGCATGACTACACCCTTCGTTTTCCCACAATCTTCACCAAGATTGACATTCTGCCCTCCTTCTTGGAAAAATCTCATACCAACYATCGACGAGCACCTACAGAATACATGCATTGAAAATTGTTTGGCCAGATCCCTGTGAGATCCTRGTTGGCATGATTTTTAAATGATTCTTAACTCGCAAACAAGTCAATCAAATTATCAAAGTGGACCTCAACTTGAAAGGGAAGCTATAGAAAAGCTATAATAGTTTAAAAATTATGTAACTGTTGACCCCTTTTGGTAATTTGATTGACTGGCCTTGTTGCGACTTCGAGAGCAAATTTTGGAATAGATTTCGATGCCAAATCTACTTCAAAGACACGAGCTACAAAGGATTAATTGAAGGCCGATTGATTRATTGATTTACTTTCGAAAAGGTGGKGAGAGACTGGGACAACCACTTACATACGCTCCTGTTTTTAAGGACTTACCAGGATCTTTTCACAAACTTGATCCAATGCTGATCTTTTGATGTGTGTGGCACAAATCGAAGACACGTATGCTTATGAAATTCAGCGATGGCACCTCTGATTGCCCTGGTAAATCCTCCATCCACATCGCCTAAATCAATAAATAGTTTAATGTGAATGGACGAAGTTGATACCCACTACATGTAGAGATCTTAATTGAGGATTTRAATTACAAGAATTCAAAGTACATAATTATCAAACTCATTGATAATTCATAATGTCATTAGCCAATGATATACTGAGAATCTAATCACGTGATAATACCTTTATGTTGGATAAAAGGTGCAGCAAGCGGGGCGGCTTTGAATATTTTCAGGGGAGTGYGGGGCTGATTATYAYTCAACGTTTTCCTGATACAGACCTAATTAATAAAACATTAGTTCTSTATCASTGATACAGAACTWATGTTTTATTAATTAGGTCTACGTTGAGTAATAATCAGCCCCGCACTCCCCTGAAAATATTCAAAATGTCTAAACTYGCGTGCCATCAAACACAACTTAAAACACACTGAAAAATCAATATTGCAGCAATGCCRTTTCGTTTCCTCGCGATTTACTCGATCGTCGGWTAAGCTTCTCTGTTTTTYTKGGCGCCTCGTCTTGTATGAATTTGACCATCCAAAAAATCAACGACTCGGCGTTCATGTCATCAAGACCAGCGTCAGCATATCCTGGAATGACTCGCGCGCTGTTTTTGAAACTGCATGGTGCTCCCATTTATGGCTTTCTTGTTCGCACGGTCTTTTTGCCGGTCGCAAAATAAGGTTGCGGACCATTTTGTTGAATATTTTGTGGAACACTCCCCCGAACAATAGCGCTTTCCTTTATGTTGAGTTTTAGGTCTCATAAATCGACTCGACATGTCTTCGAGGGAGAAATGGAAGACAACTGATTTAATTTTTGCTAACTATGAATGCCTAATATCTTGCAATTYCTTTGACAATTCTAATTTTCTATAGTTTGGCAAGCACATTCTTTAAAAAAGCAATAGGAAAATAAACAATTTTCAGGAGAAAGCATAAAAAGCTTCTAATGTGACAATTCCGCTTTMAATTAATCGTTTAKAAATTCCCTTGATAGTTCAGTCGTTTCATGAAGGCGCCATACAAACAGTTATATTTGACGTCGGATTATCTAATAACGGCGACATAAGTTGATAATTTTAATCGATGAAATGCAGCAAGATATTCAATTTGTCAAAAATATTAAAATGAGAATTATTATAAAGTTTGATAAGCCGTATACAGAACTCGAGAGCGTATACATTACATACAAAGGTATTGCACTACGCTTTTATTCTGTAATCTTACTAACAAGCACTAAATGATTCAATTTTACTGCAAAAAAAGGTCAAAAAACATCGATTGTGTGTCTGCTGTTGCTGTTCTTTGATATTTCACTTATGTTTTTTTTTTGGTTTTTGTGCACTGGAGTTACAACTTTATGTACCCACGACAATTTGTTTTGAGTGCCCACGATTTTTTGACAGGCCTGAACTCACATTAAATGGACATATTTTTTGACATCAAGATTGCCCATACAATTAATATTCAAACATGATTTGTACCTTACAATCTTGGGACACCTAAAAGCAATATTTTTAAACTGAAATAAACGGTTTTTTTTTTCAAAGGGTGGATTAGGATTAGGTTCGGGATAGAGCTCTCTCTTTGCAGCCCAACTTCACCTTCTATAACGTGGATCAATGTTTTTTCTAGTCAGTAAAGAATTCTAAACGTATTTTCCTTACTGCTTATACTTACGAATCGAAATTTCATAGGGAATGACTTTTGATTTCCAAAGCCATCTTCGATCTCGCAAAGCGTTTCGTTTGGAGTGCGATTCATCCGAATTTCTCAGAATTCTTTCATCACTTGACACTTCAATGTCTCCCTCAAAAAGGTTCGTCATATTGGTCCCTGTAAACGGATGAAAACTGGTTTAGCCTAGATTGAATGTACCGTGACATAACATTAAGAAAGGGAACAGTTACTTACTCAAGTTAGATTTTATAATCGTATCCATTATGTCCTTGTCACCTCTTTTGTCATCATCTGGTGAGAGAAGCATTACCACTTAGGGCCGGTTCACACTACACCATAAGCAGAACCAGAAGCCGAGAACAAAAGAAAATGAAAAATAATGCCAGTTAAGCGCGCTTCGAGATAASCATAGGAATAAGGATAGGAAAAGGCATAAGATGGTAAAAGATAAAAAATAATTTTAAGTATTTCTCTTATAAAAAGCAAGATGAAAATTATGTCTTTTAAAGGTTTTTTTTTAAGAAATATAAAATGGCGCGCGTGTCTCTGTCCTCTGATATAAACACGGTGGGAGTTCGAAAAACACGAGAGAAGCAATCTTAGGTACACGAGCGTAGCGAGTGTTGCTCTTGCTTCTCGAGTGTTTTTCAACTCACACCGTGTTTATATCAGATGACAGAGACACAAGCAACCGTTTTAGAATTCTTTTATAGAATTTTTCGAGCGAAAAGAAAATTTTGCCGGTAAGCCGTGTCTCTGTCCCGCTCTGATATACACGGTCGTCAGCCAATCAGAGCGCGCGTTATATATCAAAAATTTTATAACGATGATTATAAAACAAAGCCATATAGGATAGTAGTGCAATCATTGATCTTGCGTAAGGGTTAAAGCATAGCGTTATCTTCATAAAAAGAAAATCTAGTCGTTAGTCCCCTGAGTTCTGTTTAATGGTTTTGTGTAGTTAGCACCCGGGTTTTAGAGGCCATGAATAGACACTAGCTGTTCAAATAAGTTTCTCAATTTCGTACCTATATTTATTATGCATTACTAGCTATAAAATCTAATACCTTGATTCCTATGAAAAGGGACGCAATTTACCAAGCTGAGACCCAAGAAAAAGACTAAAATGCTTGCTAGTCTTGCCTTCATCTTRCATCTCCTCTCCAGTACAGCACCAGATCTCTATACTGAATGATCTGATGMGGTCTGTACTTAAATAGAAAAAAATAGCTGCGACTAGTTTTAGTTGGTGTCGCCATCATGAAATAGTCCATTGAAGTAATAAATGAAGTATTGATGAGCTAGAAATCATATGTCATTTTCTCGCGTGTTTTTCTGAGTATCTTTGAAATAGGTTTCCAAAGAGCCTAAATTGAGCCAGTCAGTCAAGCTACGATATGAGCTGGTGAAATTAGTTTTAAAGCCTCTTTGAAAACACCATATTGCGTAAATTATCGGGTAAATCGCTTAATACCATATGTTTACCTAAACTACAGACATTTTTATTCTGTTACAGTTAAAACGGTTGTTTCCTCGTAGTCTATATCAAAATGACAGAACAACCATTGTAGCTTCCTAACGACGCAATAATACATTGATAGTTTCGGATCCTGTAATAACGAACTATTATCCGTGAAAGGACTTAAAATAAGAATAATAATGAAAAAATACACAGAGCATTTTAAGAACTACAAATAAACGGACGCCATTGTACTAGTTACCGTCTAACTCTTTCACTATACAAATATTCAAACATTTTGATGTAATCAGTAATTATTGTGATAGAAATTATTTAGATTTGCACGAGAAAACTTTCTTTCCATCTGCTACGACATTTAACATAGTAAAAAATGAGTATAATATCACTGTACGATTTACCTTACCTTACTTAGTTTTCAGTATTATAATATTATATTTAATTCACAAAGAAAACCTCTAAAGAATTTTAATTCTCAAATGAAGTGAGCGTGTGTGTTGTCCGGTCCCTTCATATGATACATTTAAATGTATTGATGTTGCTCTGATGTTGCTCGATATTATTTCACAGGTTTTTCTTATTATAAACCCCCCCTACCCCCCTCTTCACCTGTCCCCCGTCCTCCCTTCCTCACCCTTTTAAGATTTATGACAAACGGCCGCCTAATGGAAAACAAAAACAAGTCGAAGCATTTCGTGGTAATGTGGCATATTGAAGTTTTTAAAATTCTCATTTTTTAGATGAGTTTCTCTTTTCTTCTCTTTTTGTTTAGTTCATACTCTAGTCTTTCATATTCGTGCTCGTCCATCTTTAGTATTTTGCTGTTGGCTATTCTTGAAGACAGTTCCTCCCTGCTTCTTTAGTCCTCCTCATCTAAAAACTTACTTTATTTATACATATCGATGAGATAYCAGGTTTTCTCTAGTTGTGAAAATGCAATATCTTGAACCATGAAAAGATATCATATCTTTCACATGTGAAGATATCACTGTTTGCATGGTGACACATTATTTCGGCCAATTCGATCAATATGTAATTATATAATAGATCAATAGATCGATATGTATATAATAAGCATTAAATGAGTTACATGGCCGCTTGGAAATACTAATTTTATCTTCTCGTTTTCAATATACGMTCACTCGTGAGATATTTGATTGAACACTCTATTTCCGCGCGCGCGTCCTTGTAATATCCTCTATAGAAAACGTTCTTTGATGGTATAAAAGTAATAGGAGATGCCTGGTTTTAGACTGAAGAGARAGCCAGCCTTAATACGGGAGCTCCTACTCAGCCGCCATCACTCAAGTACTCCCTATGACATCGCATTTTTTCGATTAGGAAAAATATTTTTTTCAATAAAACTGCAGATTTATCAGTTGAAAACAAAGATGTCAAATACATGATTTACTTTTGTAATGGATAAAGTACAATAAAGGACAACAGTGAGAACTAATTTCTAGTTCATATTTTATATTGATGCTAATAATTCTATTTATATATATATTTTTAATGTCTATTAAAATAGACATTGTACAGAATGTTTCGATGTTTTAGCAAAAGAAAAAAGAAAATTCATTACTAATTACACAAAAAGATAAAATGCAAATGGAATCGAATTGAAATTAAAAGAATAGTTAAAATGTGGCTCATTGGGTGAATTGATAAAAGTGCTTCAGAACTAAAAACTATAAAAATGGGATCATACGGCTGTTTTCTTTGATAAGTGCCCTAGTTCCCGAGACAATACTACACAAGTTCTCACCGATTAAACTCATAAAGACATTTTACTTCCCTTTTGAAGATTGAAACAAGTAAAACAATTCTCCATAATTGCACGAATTATACATAGAAAGAAAACAAATGAAAATGAAAAAAGCATTCAGTAGTTCTTCTTCTATTTCTTCTTCTTCTTCTTCTTCTTCTTCTTCTTCTTCTTCTTCTTCTTCTTCTTCTTCTTCTTCTTCTTCTTCTTTCACTTGGTTGCGTTCCTAAAGGAAAGATTATTATCCATAAATTGGTCGATAATAGATGCGATACAGCTGGAAAAAAATTTGTCAAGAATGCCATGACAATATTACGGCGGCTCGAAAATGAAAGCGCTATCATTTTTAGATAATAGGTATGAAAAGCCAAACATGAACTTGCTAAATATAGCCACCCTTCTTTAATGAGGATTTTTGAATCGGTAATCAAGTGGATTATATGAATTTCAGTTTACAAAAGTATCTTAATGAATAATAGTAATTATGGCAATGAAAGTAACAATAGTAACGATTAAGAAATGATATAATCTTGGTGAGTATAAAAGCATTCAGAAGCGATAATCAGTTCACTTTAACTTTGAGATCCTTTAAGAGCGATGGAGAAGGGACAGCTTGTGAGTTTTCTTGTGTACTTGTTAAGTTTGAGTTTGRTGAATTCTAGTCCAGTTCATCGAAATGAAGGTAAAATTGCATTTTTAAAGTTACTAGCTATAAATTATTTTATTCGCTGGCTTAATTACTGTTTTCAAACAGGCAGTTACTCTTTTTAAAACGGTTAAACGTTTAAATGTTTCTACTGCGTTCATACGTTGCGCTTGGCCATAAGTATTTCGCTCTATGCTCCTTGGATATGGCCTACATAGCTGCGGCCATGAGGGAACTAAGGAGTTCCACTAAGCAGGCTGTGCGGATATAATACATCGATAGTTCGCGGCTTTGAAAGCTATTGTCCGTCTAGCAAAAGCGGATCCGCAAAAGCTCACATCTAGTAGTAAATGAATATATTTTCCTTTCATGAAGCACAGCAAGATAAATCCGAAGCACGCATAAGAATGGCTCCTAAATACACTTGATCATTTAATGCGTCAAAGCCACGTCATAGCTACAATTACTATCAGGATTCGTTGATCACTTTTGTTCCAAATGGGCCGGAATAACCGATTGATGACAATCACCAACTTGTTAAACCGAGCTGGTTGTTCAGTACACTCTTGATTATTAAACAGTACAAGTTAACTTCTACTGGCAGTGGGAAAATATAAAAATAAATGTGTATTTTTAACATTTTATTTTACAAGAGTGTTTCCATAGAAAAAAATAAAAAAGCAAATTTAATTTAAAAAAGAAAGATCCATCAAGACTGCGCACCCATCCAATTGGATAACCACCCCTTGTTGACTAACCCTTTGTGTCAGAATGAATTCAACACATCATGTACCATTTATAGCAAGCACTCGTTGATCCGCTCTGCCATGTGGGACCAAAAAAAAAACACTTTTTACATAATTTCAAAAGAATATTACTTAAATGTGAGGATGTTACCAAGATAAAGATCGATTTTGAAAACATTTTTGCAGTTGTGCGATACATTTTGTCCCGATATCGAAGTACTCATCTTTTAAGACTATTGCACGTCAAAACTTTTATTTGAAATTTTCATGATACTTTAGACGCCTGGTATACTCATGCAAGCAAACGCTCTTGTACAGGTTTCAAAACCAAGCGCCCCCGCGCGCCTAATACAAAAAAAAATTAACATTAGTAATGACGATTTAATATTGTTCGTCAGAAAAACGTTTATATAACAATGTGCGTAAGAACTATAGAACTCCCTATTGTTCTGCGGCATTGCAACTTCCCCACATACAAATGTCTTGGTTTTCACACTGATTATATATCAACCTATGGGTAACACATTTTTGAAATAAAATGTGGATAAACTCTATTTTGAAACAAAGCTTCTTTTGTATTAAAACCTCTTATCCAATCATTAGCACTCAAAACAATAGCCAAAAGRAGCTTCTAATTTGCTATGTTCCCCACATAGAATTGCCTTACTAAAAGGGACAGGAAACCCGGCAAACAGGCTAACAATTAAATCTCTGTCCCTAAAGTATTCTTTTGTTTTAAATATATACAACAAAAAAGAGAGAAAGAAACTTGAACGCGGACATATTAACTGACGGTATCTAACAAGTTTTGAACGTGAAAATTCTTGCAAACATCCTCGATCTTGAAGGAGAACAGGCGGTATGCATTATGGCGTCATTTACTACAGGCAACTACCAGAATGATTTGCCAACTTTCTTTTGTAATGCAGTTAGTGCCAATTGTTTTATTTATCCCCAAGGGGATTAAAAATCTGAATAACAATGGAAATGCGCAAGGCTCTCTGGTAGTTGTAGTAAAGTTACGTCATAATTCAAACGGCCTGCAACGGCCAAGAAACTATTAGACTTGGAAACGAACGGTGAACAYATAAATCCTAAAGTTTGCGCGCTACGTATGTAATAACCGTGTTAACAAGCTAGACAAGTACGTTTGTTTTCCTCAAAAGAATAAAACATCGCAACGTCAAAATRAATTCCAATCTCGTATGGGTTGAAAAGTACCAAATGTATTGAAAAGTACCAAATGCAAAGGGACGCCCGCCGGAAGAAAAAAGAACACTGAACTGTCAAAATACCCGTTCGCGGGTGCTGTCGTATTTGTATTATTTCGTATGGGTTAGTTATGTATGGACTAGGAACCGACTAACCACCTCCGTCGAGGGTGGGCGAAACGGCTATCAATATGGATGGTGACTGATTTTTTTTTTGTTTTTTTTTTCCTCCTTCTCCTTCTCCTCAGTTCTTTTTCTTTTCTCCTCTTTTTTTTAATATTGTTATTTTGGGGCACACTTTATATTTGAAAAATTACTCCAAAAGGGGTTCAACATTTCCCTTACTGGCAAGAGAATTCAAATTAAATTACTCTCCTAGATGCATTTAAAGATGGTGGAGTTAAAAATCTATACTCCAGAAAAGGAGTTACCTGGAGCTACCGTTTTAACACCTCTTTTTGAGTTATATCAACCATTTGAAAATACCAATGCACTGATGTTTTTTTKTTGTTGTTGTTGTTTTCAATATCTAGAAGACAAACATCAAGAAGAAGATGTCATGGATTCCATTATCARAACCAATCAAAGTACTTACACCTTTTTTCGTTGATTTATTTTGTTGTTAGTGATGTTTTTAACCCCGTAAATTTTTACCCAGCATCAATAAAATTCGTTGAAATCGATACCCTGTTCCAGAGTAAAATCGCTGGAAACGATACCCTGGTTGGCGGCACGTCCCCGTATAACGAATATAGGGGGGAGTACCCACATCACGGGTGTTTTTGTTGCTGTTGTAAAACTTTGTAGTGCGAGTATATACAGCAATTGGCAATAAATTTGATCCCCTCTGCCATCTTATGGGATATCACAACTGATATATATTTATAGCTATCACCAATTTATTTAATTTATTTATTTATTTTAATGAAACTGAAATTTGTGGTGAGGTGGGAGGGGCTCAGAATTATTGCAAATTTCTGTACCTGTAAGTAGCCATATAAACATTCGCCTGTATCCATCGAGATAGTTATATTTGTTTCTTGACAGATGCTGGTAATAATTTCTACGAAGGAGACATTATTTTAACCTCACAAGGCGAAAGAGATCAGTCTGACATAGGAGATGAAGACGATTCCCAGTATTCGAAGCGAAATGCTCGACGGAGTAGAGTTTATCTTTGGAAATCTAAGGTCATCCCATACGAGATATTAATTCGTAAGTATATTCAAAGTTTTAACAAATCAGTCTTAAGTGAGCCGTAAAAGTGCATACATTTATTCATGTAATATCTTTGATCTCTCCCCATCACTTACTCATTCAGTCGGTCATGCTCAGTAGTCACATACTCAGTCAATATCAATGTTACATTGGAAACTGGACTCGCGCATTTAAATGTTGCAAATTTGATGTAAATGATGTAAATGTTCAAATGAATKAACATCMTTTTSGAYACTTACATCATRTATCCATCAAATTTACAACCTTTAAAGTGCGCGATTGTTCCCAGTGTTAACGTAAACATACACTGATCTATATATGGATCAGCAGCGGTCAAGTAGTTATCTTTGTCCGTATCGAACATTTGTTATGCTTGATGGAAWCTAGMGGTAACTAGTGTCATGCTGTCGTAGTTCTATTGTCATTTTGATTGTTTCTTCTTAGTAATGTTAAAGCATTTGTTGTTGTTGTTGCTGCCGTTGTTGTTGTTGTTGTTGTTGTTGTTGTTGTTTGCTAACTCTGAGGTAGTATTTCACATCCTTATATTATAAACGAGGTTAATCTTTTATTGAAGCCGATGAAGATGGAAGCTACAAAAGAGTTATTCAAGATGCCATCGCTGAGTTCCACAAGCACACGTGTCTTCGTTTTGTACAGCGAACTAATGAAGACAAATGGATCAAGTTTGTTCAAAAATCTGGGTAGGAACTTTATTCTAAAAAGGATGAAGGGTGTTTATATTAACTCTTTTTAATTTGTATAACTTTGTTCAGAATAACTTCATCGAGCTCGAAAAAGAAACCGGACAATTCCTAGAAACTGTTGTTTTGTATCGGAGTCTATAATATAATATATAATATACTTTTATTTCTCGTGAAAGTCTCACTTAATAACTATTTACATTGTCATTTTAATGTTAGACTAGATACGCCTATATTTACAATAGAATTCGAATCATTTAACAATTACGAAATAATTTCTCAAGAGAAAAAGGTAAACGCAAAACTAATAAAAAATTGCTATGATCTTTAAGGTGTTCATCGTCAGTTGGYATGCAGTTCTACTCAAAAGGCGGCCAAGAARTATCTCTTGGGAAAGGCTGTGAACAAAAGGGAGTCGTTATGCACGAATTGCTCCATGCTTTAGGATTTTGGCACGAACAATCCAGACCTGACCGGAACCAATACGTTGAAGTGTTTTGGGAAAATATCAAGAAAGGTAATTATACTCTATTAATTTTGGTATATTTTCCCATGAATATGCTATATAATAAATATCTTATTAATCACTCTTGCTTGAGGCGTACGGGAAGTTATGGAACCTGTTTTTCCCCCTTTATCATGGCCCGCGCTCTGGCCATAAGTAAGCGGAAAAAAACTCGGATCATAACTTCCTGTACAGCCCTCGCGCTCGGTTAATAAGGCATTATTGCACTAGCTATAAACATTACATATTACACTATATTTGTTTTACATTGACCATTCATTGAACAATTTTTTTTTGACAATATAGACATTATGGACATATGATAATGAAATTACATAAGAATAGTACTTTTTATGAGTTGATATTTTACATTTGAAATTGTGAGATAATAAGAGAAAAAAMCAACAAAGCAAACCAAGAAAAACACCAGGAACGCAAATAACAAAAACAATAGGGACAAAAATAAAACAAAAAGAGAAGAAAAACACAGACAATTCTAGCGATCAATGCCTGATGTGTATCTATGAAGACTTTAAAACTTTCTTAATATTTTGCCATTTAAGTAGATCTGGCTTGACATTTTGCTTTTTTTAGAGGCTATACACCTTTACCATAATGGCTGCAATTTTAATTGTGTTTTTCCAAAATAAAATAGATATGAATATTTTGTCACTGTAACATCAAAGAACTATCAGAAATAAACGTTTTTGGAACATTTTAGAACTCTGGACAAAATAGGAAAAAAGTTATGGTGAAATGAAAATACAAAGAAATGTATGTAATTTTCCACGAATGGCTGTCTGTCTATTTGTTTCTGAATATGAAATATGTGAAAACTTTGTCACTGTTATGTGAATGAACTACCAGAAATAAACATTTTTGGAAAGTTTTACAGCCCTGCATAAAATGCGAAAAAATTTATGGCCAAATGAAAATACAAGAAATGCATGTAATTTTCAGCCAAGGCCTTTATAGCCTTGTTCTGGTGTTATGATATATCTTAAATCCTTATAACTTCACCAGAATTTAATATTTTCATTTCAAAATTGTATATGTTGTTATTAGCACAGGTTCCTATCAGCTGTTAGTTTACTTGGACTAAAATTCTAAATTTTAAAAATTTATGTTAATTAGATGGCGGCCATATTATGGTAAAGGTGTATAGATATTACCACCACCACACACACACAAACAACTCTTCTTTTAATTAGTAGTGAGAAGCTTAACAAAAAAATCAACGCCAAAATCTCAAGCGGCCCAGCGCACTTTTAAACTCCTCTCTAAAATGTTGAGAGAACATTGCGTAAATACCGGCGTTGAGAGGACCATTTGCAATGGCAGCGATACTGCCAGCTAACAAGCCTGCGATGCTATGATATGCATAGTGTACATGCATAAAATGCACAAAGCAAATAAGGAAAAAAGACGGAAACCAACACACGTTGAAAACGATTAATATACATATTATCATACGAGTARCTTTCTTGGCGGTTTGGTGTTCAGCGGTGTGCTGGTGATCGTTTGGCACATGCGCACCGGGTATTCGCCTTGTCCATAGTTTATATGCAATGATAACGTACATTGTTACCATGACAACATGAGGTAATACATATCCCAGGGATRCCATGATGGCAGCCTCTAAAGTTGCATTCAGCGCCACAACATATGTTTTATTGTCGTTAAGAAGCTCATGCAATTTCAGTAACTCTGAGATTTGCAAAAACGAGATGGGAAGGTAGCGCCAATGCCGCAATCCAGACCAGGGSTATAATGTACTTTGTCCAGGAATAACAGCTTTTGTACTGGAAAGGACGCACTACGGCCATGCATCGGTCAAACGTTATAGCAACAAGACTAAGCACTGAGCATAATATTGAAACAAACTCCATGTAGTAAARCAGCTTTGAGCAGATGGTTGAAAAAAGMCCATCACTCCATTCTAGTCCTGTGTATAAGTACTTTATTGTACTGATGCCAATAGAAATCGCAACCAGAATATCTCCAAATGCCATATTAACAATGAAGAAGTTCGCTGTCGTGCGCATGCGCTTGTGCTGATCTACTCTGACCACATGTATTATCAGGCTGTTTGAGAGCAATGAAACGACGGAAACAAATACCACGAGTATTACAAGYATTGGTTTGATGAAATCATGGTCGAACTCTGGAGGTCGAACATGCAATATGATGTCTGGGAATTAGATAAGCAATAGATGAATAAAATTATTCAAATGCAAGTTTTAGAGATGAGATGATAATTTGTTTTTAATGAATCCCCTTTTAAATTAATTGTGACCATTATTTCAGGTACGAAGGCTGGGGGGTTCGGGTTTTCCTTCCATCCACAATCTGAAAATGTCCGGTGTTTCTCTTTTTTGACTGTTCTATTTTAAATTTCTTTTGTTAATATGAACCGTTTTTAAGGTACTTTTTTGTTATGAACTCGTCATGCCTGTATTGTACTTTATAAAATTTTTGATATATAACGCGCGCTCTGATTGGTTGGCGACCGTGTTATATCAGAGGATAGAGACACGTCAGACACGGCTTACCGGCAAAATTTGTTTTTCGCTCGAAAAATTTTATAAAAGAAATATACAACGGCCGCTTGTGTCTCGTTCCCACCGTGTTTATATCAGAGGACATGAGACACGCGCGCCGTTTATATTTCTTAAGTATATTTATCATATATTTGGATAAAGTAATGATAGTTACGGACAAAAAATTAATCTGTTAATCAAGTTAAGTTATGAGCTTTAACTGGTCAGACGGCAGACAGTGTCCAGCAGCCATTCTTTATCATTTTCGTCGAGTCATAATAGTAAAATACTGTGAACGTCATAGAATTACGTCATCTCGACACGCAATAGTTTTTTACAAATTTCTTCATTAGCAATATTTGAAATAAAATTAACGTAATTATTATCTTTTTTCCTATCTTTTCTTAAATTATGGCTATGTGAAGAAAAAAACAACTACTGTTCTCCAAAAAGCGCTGAAAAAAAAGAAAGAAAGAAACATGATATGGACAGAATGTTTTGTGCTGAATGTGAAATTTAATCATCTCTCTTCTTGTTTTGTTTTGTTTTTTAATTTTGTAGTAATCAGCTTTACTGAAGAGAGCAACAACTACTTTCTGATATATTTGATATTAACTTTAGCTTTTTATTAGATTAATAAAGCAGCTATAAAACAACAGGATGACATTRATAAACGACAAAAAGGAATCCACAGTCAACATTTTCTTACCTTCTAATTTAACATTGTCACYAAWAATATGCTGCTTTGAGCTTTGGTTCATTTTGAAAACCAAAATCCGTTGTGAAAAGTTTGCAAGATATGTTATGCTGTTATTAATTCAGAGTAAYACTTCGTTTATTACGGCTCTCTCTCCGTGTGGTCGKCTGTAGCTTATGAATCATACCTCTCTTAAGTCAAGTTTGTTGATAATATCTGTAATTAATAAGCGCGCGCGTCATGATKTAGATTTTAATCAACTTTTCGAGAAGACTTTCCCCCAKGGCATCCATAATTTATACTTACAGTCATAAATAACGGTGGACATCATTGCTTTATATTATTGCTATACTTATTAGACTGTATACCCAAGAACTTTGGACTCATTGGGGCTTAAAATAATGAAGTTTTGATTGTTTAGTAATCAATAATCCATGAATGTACAAAAAAAGTAAATGGAACCGAAAAGCAAACTATATATAACTTATTATCATCCAAAATCCAGCTGTTTTAGACTCCAACCACTCTATCCGCTTTTATGCGCTATCGATGAAAAACGTCGAACTTTGGCTCCGAACTCGACTTTCGAGGCTCCTCCTGGTTCGGAACGCGAACGGTTTATTCAGAAGTAAATCATGGCTGTTGTTGAGACTTTTCAGTGATTTTCCAAGTTTTATACTAATTATAATATTGGATAAAATTTAGAAATTAATTCTACCAGCAATGATTTTAATATCGCAATATCGAGTTCTCTTGTACAGCACTGGTGACCTTGAATAATTAGATAGATAGAAAGATTACTTCTTGTATCTTTTAGCTGAACAACATAACTTCCAAAAATACACTCATGGTGCCATTGACACACTGAAAAAGCCATACGACTACAAGAGTATCATGCACTACAGCAGACATAGCTTTTCCAAAAATGGCAAACCAACCATACTTGGCCTAGGGGCGAACAAACATACCATTCTTGGACAGAGAGATGGCTTTAGCAAGACGGATATCTTTGAGATTAATGCTCTGTATGATTGCTCAGGTATTAAAGTGTTATTGGTTTGATAGACATTAATCAGCTCATCACTGGAAAAAAACGCACGCTTTAAGGTTGTAAATTTGATGTAAATATGATGTAAGTGTGCAAAATAATGGGAATTTAATGGAAATCATTTACATCAAATTAAATACAGAATTTTGAACTCTTACATCATATTTACATCAAATTTACAACCTTTAAAGCGCGCGATTTTCAAAATGGCGCATGAACCGTGTATAGACTACTTTATAGCGAACTAAAACTCATTTTCAGGACCGTCTAACGGATGGAGTTCGTGGAGTGATTTTGGCCCGTGCGAATACAATTGTAAAAAAACACGTGAAAGATTCTGTGCTACTGCTGATAGGTCTGCTTGTCCTGGAGCTGATAGCTGGGGATTACAAARGGAAAATAAAAAATGTTCTGACGCTGAATGCTACGGTAGGACATTTTTTACCACTTGTATTACTAGGTGACGTTCCAAAATCCCATTCTACATGTCCCTTTTTTTTCTTTTTCTCTTTTTGACAGCTCCAGTAGACGGTCACTGGGGAAAGTGGTCGGATTGGWCTCAATGCAGCGTGACATGTGACAGTGGTACTCACACTAGAACAAGAATGTGTGACGATCCTTCACCTAAAAATAACGGCAAACAGTGTGTAGGCAACAGCAAAGAGACAGGAGCTTGTCACGCTAAAGCGTGTAGATTAGGTATGTGTTGTTAATAAGTCGTCTTTATAAAAACATATACACCTCAAAACTGACAATTTTATAGAAAAAAGGATATATGTATTTTCTTGTAAAAAGGAATAAATAGAAATAGAAAAAACATCAATCGGACTGATCGCTTTCTCTACAATGGGCGTTTCCTTATCCCAMCTGACCCCAAGCGAAGAGGATAAGGTGCTTGGATTGAGATTGCTCTCTTCATCTTTCAATGCATCCCATTTTTTATGATTTGTTTGCTTTTTTGCTTTWTTTGAAGGTAGGTGTAAACTTACATACATGATGTAGCAATGCTCTTCCGGGAAATAAGTACAGAATCAGTAAAAGTCAAATACAGAATTTACAATTCATGTTCCATATTTCACGTAGGTCCCGATGATTGTGAGTTCGAGTTCGGTATGTGCTCATGGTTTCAAGTTRATAAGAAAAATGGCTACAAATGGAAACGTACTACTGGAAAAACACCAAGCTCAACCACCGGACCAAATGGAGACGCATCAGTCAACCAAAATGGGCAGGGTAAGCATGGAGCGAAWTCTACCAGCAGAAATTATTGTTTTCTTTCGCAGAGTAGAGTTAACCGCTAAGGAGTCTAGAACTGCACAAAGTTAACAGGTAGAATTGCAATACTTAGGACGCTTACAATTAACCAAAGTTAACACCTAACAGATACGATATACTAATTTGTATGTAATATATTAAATATGAGCGGGAGACCTTTATGGGCATATAAAACTGCGAGCTGCAAGAGAAAAAAAGAATAAATATATCATAGTTTTTATTTTTGCGTTAATTTTCAMTGATATCATCATTGTTTTTAAGTTTATCTTATATCCTCTGATTTYRACCAATAAATTTTCATAAGGTCATTACGTTTTTGCGGAATCGTCATCGCCCGCTAGAACTGGCAACGTWGCCAAGCTTCGAAGCAAGGTCTTYCCCGCAGCTCCMMRMGGTCGCTGTATCAAGTTTGCCTACAGTATGTACGGTAGTGGTATCGGTGCTTTAAATGTGTATGTCATCGACTCAAAAACTGGAAAGAAAACAAAGTTATTTTCAAAGTCTGGTGATCAAGGTCCAGGATGGCATAGAACTAATGCATCTATTGCCACTAACGATGATTACAGGGTTAGTCAAATTTTGAGAAAAGTATAGCAATATTCTTATTTTTTAACMCAACTAAGACTTGTTCTATACSTTGAATGKCACATGTAGCGAATTCAATGCAAAATTACTCCAATCTTTTATTTCTGGCAATTTATTTGATTCTGTCGCAACAAGTGACATTCGTACGAAACATGACCAAGATATTATGCTTGTACCACACCCTGATCAGGTAATTATAGAGATCGATTTCATATATATTTTTCCGTGTCGGGGTCAGGCTACTAACACTTTTCTTCGTGATGATTGAGTATATTGATATTATGTCTAAATTAGCACGATATTATATTTATCTAACATTTGTCTTCAGATATCATTTGAAGTCACACGTGGTAACAGTTTTCTCGGTGACATTGCATTGGATGATATCACGTTTAAAAATGGTGGATGTTATGTGACTCCGCCAACAATACCTCCAACGACTTCAGCCCCAGCGACTTCAGCTCCAACGACTTCAGCTCCAATGACTTCAGCTCCAACGACTTCAGCTAGTGGAGGTACAGTACAGTACAGTTGTTGTTGTTGTTGGTGGTGGTGGTGTTGTTGCTGTTTTGTTGTTGTAATGAAATCTACCCTTAATTCAAACCTGAGATATTCGTCACTCTTCCGGTAAATCTTCTCCCCATAAAGAGCAAATTTATTCTGCGAGAGCCGGAGAGATAGATCAACTTTGGTATTGGTTTTTTGGTAATCTGGTTGTGTGGTCAGTTTGGAGCTAATCGTCTGTTATTTCCTATAGACGACTTCAAAAGCTTGGGATGTTTCAACGATAAACAAGTACAAAATGCACGTCCTTTTCCTAAAATTATAGCTAATTTGAGAGACGATGGAAGCTTGGATTGGAAAGATCTTAAAACGTCAGTTGTGGACAGATGTGCTAGAATTGCAAGGAATCTTGGGTACGTGGTCATTTATTAATTTAAATCCGTACCTTATACATTGAAAAGAGTCATTCATGTTATTATCAAATAATAAATTAAAATATTGAAATGTTTCATTGCTGCACAATCCTACCCAGCTACTTTGATCCCTTCCTTTATGGCGCGCGTTGCATAAAGGGAAGGACGATTAAACGTTATCAGCTTAAATGGCTTGAACTTTAAGAAAGCACACGGAATTTGCTTTGAAAATAAAAAATCTGGAACTCATAGGATTTTTAAATGAAATTACACGTTTTGAAGGCATGCATTCCAAGTTATTTGAATTCATGCCAAAAACATGAATTCCTACAAAAACATGAAATTCCTACAAATGACGCACGCATTCGAATGTAATTTCACTTGAGCGCAAGTCAAATTTACATTTCGTACTTCATCATTTTCAGATATAAATACTTCGGGATTCAGTATTACGGTGAATGCTGGAGTGGACCGGATTCACAAGTACATTATGACAGAGATGGTTCTTCCAAACAGTGTTGGGGCGGAGTTGGTAAAGGAAATGCATTCATGGTCTACAAGTTCACTTGACTGTTTTGATTGCGAATGGTCCGCAGTTAAGGTTTCGATGTAGACAAAAATCAATACRTTTTAGGACGTGCTCAAACAGTAAAATGAGAAATATATAAAAGCAGAAAATAAAAAGAATTATACAAAGTCGTCTTTGCACWTCGCTTGCCGTCATCAAAGTAGCAGAACAGTATCCACGTAGTGACGATTAGCTGAGATTGAGCCTCCTCCATAGGGTTCTCTTTTCAGTTCTAAAAAAAATCAATGGGCTTTCTGTGTTAAATCAGGGCGAGACAAAATGTGAAAAAGCGAGGTGCCTACGGAGGTCGCTATCGTAGCTTCGGGTGACCTACGTAGCACGCAGTTGATGTAATGTATTCATAAAATGTATTGTATTCCATTGTTTCTCGTTCTTATATTGTATTATGTGTTTTGTATTATATCTTTATGAATATATTACATCAACTGAGTGCTACGTAGATTCTCCCATCGTAGCTTGTGTATCAGCATTAAAAAGACTGGGAACCATTCTCCGCCTGGACCTTCCCAGTCCCTTAGAGCTGTAACGCAGACTAAAGCTATCCAAGCTAGTGATTCTCTTCATATTATTATKCGAGTAATTAATAACTTGAACACTCAGTCGGTTTCACAATACCTACATCCCATGAACCCTTTCAATATGCAACTGATATCCGATGTTAACTCAAATTTTGTAAATGCAAACCGCGAGAGTACGATGCATGTGAACTTCATTACTCAGAATGTCTGTTAACGCACGCGCGGCACATTAAGGGAAGGTAACGACCTTAGTACTGTTACTAGCTTGAATCGCGAGCACATACAGGCAGTTGTAAAGCCTTTCAAGCAGGTAGTTTTAGAAGTATTGCTTTCCACTCCAATGCATTATTGAAACGAAACTTTTGCTAAATGACTTTAAAACATCAGTATAACATCAGAACAAAAGACTTTGTTGATGAGTAACAAATTAAGAGTTTTCTATATTTGATGTTTGAAAAAAATGTTAAGATTTGTAAGAACGTAACGACGGGTTTGTTTTWCCTTTCCGTTGACGTCATGGCACCTATGTCATTCATACTATTGATAACGAAAATAGCCGGCGATGATTTATCTTGTAGATGAAATAATTACTTTTTAAGAGTCGAGAGAYGCTAAAAACATGGGCATAGCATAATATATTACGCAATTACGCACGTGTGCACTTGCGGTGCCAAAATTTCAAATCTTGAGAAAAATGTTCCAATGTAKTTCTTTATTTACAAATAAATCCAATGACAAAAAAAGCAAGTATAGTTTTCTATATTAAACATCTGTAAAACGATACATTTTAGAGTTACGGAGGTCATACAGAGTCTTGCGTACTTGCCAAAACCACGCTACGCCCCTACAAAAATGTAAGCAAGAACGAAGCAAGCTAATTGGTTGAATATDGATTCTCGAGGGTAGTTGAAGATCAACACAGGGATCCCATATATCAATCGGCTAATACTGGCGGTTCCGTCTCAATTTCTCGTCTCCCGGAGATGCAATAACACCAAAAACTACTTAATAGTGTATCATTTACCACGATATAAGAAAAGATCACGCATTTTTTGAAAATGAATTTCTCGAGTCCGTTGCTCTATCCATTTTATCCTCTCATTTTCCGACCTCCAAAATTTTGATACTTTTTARTTTAACGCTACTTTTAATAGCCTGTGAAACGATTTCATGAGAATAGCTTATCAWTCGCCGGTTATGAGGTGCTGCGTGATAAACATCTGAATTGCTTCCATCTCACGACAGATGATGGCTCCATGATGCYAGAATCTTGGTCCAAGCATCRCCGGAAGGGAGGAGACAAGGTTGGTTTCCAAATTCCGTCAGGAATGTGTTTTTGTTCTCTCGAAAAAAATAATAAAGCATTCTTCTGAGACAGGAAATCTTTGGCTGTTTTCTGATGACCGATAGATGACAGACACGAGGTCCCGTCGTGTGTAACATGAAACCACTCCACGTACTGAATAATCTGTAAATTTGTCGCTCCTGTGATTKTGTTCTGAAGCTCCGATAGGATGAAAACAATGTCAACGTGTAGTAGAGCAAGCTGTTATTACGTGATTTTAGTTGTTTTATTCTTAGCTAGTCTATTAGGAAGTTCTTTGGCTTGTCCTGAACGGTGTTTGTGTTATCGGACGAATGCTGGACCAACAGTTCGATGTAACCATCAAAACCTCAAGCGTATTCCTGAAGTTCCTACATCAACAGTTGCGTTGTAAGTATCTAAGACTATTTAGTAATTGTATTACTATTAAGTAGTAATTGTTTTAGTGTATGGACGTGTTTTCCATCACTTTTTGACGTGGTTTCTACTTCATCTGTATAATAATGTCGATAAACTGAGTCGTGAGATCATTCCAACCTGAAACTAGGCATCATATAGCCCATTATAGCATAATAATTACGTATGAAAAGAAGCTAAAAACTGATTATATATTATAATTCAAGTATCAGAGTCTGTCATCCGAGCATAATAACATTGGCCTCAAATACAGTAATATCAGATAGTGTTACATGTTTGACCATGTCTATTATGAGTATGGCTACTTATTTCAGACTTCTMTCGAATTTCCTCAAACTTAAAAAGTACTTGATAGTAATACTTTATTTACCAGCGCGAATCCCTTGGAGATGCGTTGAATGAAGGTCGAAGATCGCCGACGAGAGGCGATGTAACTTGATAAGTCGCTGTATATGGTTTTGGGTTCGTTGCGTTAAAACATCGATCGTCATTGATCGATGTCTATGACGTTTGATGCCAAATGATTATGTCATTGATTGTTTAATGGTTTGATGTTATGGATGTCATTGTGCATGGTGCTGCTATTGCTGTGAATTGTTGTCAAATATTGTTGTTGTAATTTTTTGTGTAAACCGTTAGTCGCGCGTGCACACTTTGCAGACTTTGCCACTGCACTGAAGAAGATCGCAGTTGCGATCGAAACGTTTGCATTAAATTTTATTTTTCAAGCTACAGACGACTCAATTTTCTTATTGTTGTTGTTCTTGTTGTTTTCTAACGTATGTCGTTTTCTTTTCTTACGTGAGCTAATGTTAGTAATGTTATTCGAGTCTTCGTTGTTGTTTATACCTGGTTGCATTTGAGTTGTTATAATCAATCATTCATAGTGAGTAATATATGTCAGCATTCCCTACAGCCATCACAATATTTTAACTTTATATTTAGAGATTTACGTTTCAACCAAATCACGGAAGTAAAGCGTGGCGATTTGGCGGGACTTCACCATCTAACAACACTGTAAGTCTGATATATTTTTATCGGTGAAGGATGACGCCGAATTTTAAAATTCTGGATAGATTGAATTTATTGACGGACTGATTGATTGCTTGTATTGCTTACTTGCTTGCAAAATATAATCGATCAATCGATCGACTGACACATTGGTTTATGCACATCTCTGTCTTTCTTTCTCACTTCGTTCTTTCTCTCTTCGATTGTTTAGATCTTTCTTTCTTTTTTTATTCTCATTTTTTTCTTATTCTCATTTTTCTTGTTTCATATTTATTCACTTCTATATCAACAGGTTATTAAGCACTAATAAAATAACTACAGTTGAAGCGAACGCTTTCAGTGGCCTGTCATCACTAAAATACCTGTAAGTAAAATACGTACCAAAGCTCGTCTCGCGTCTCGCACGTTTAAGTGATTCCGTGAGACGTGCACAGATGTGGGAAGATTATTTACTTATCTAACTACAGGATCAGCTACTACAATAGGTTTGTTTAAGCGGTTTTCGAGTCTAATTTTGACCTTTGTTTAGTGCTGTTGTCGAGTTCGAGTTCCGAGTGCACTGWCTTTGAGCTAATCTGAGAATGAACAACTGTACGAGAGAAAATAAGATAAATATAGAAAAAAATAAAAACAAACAATASATGAACTGTTGTCAGGGTTTGGATGCTCTCCAAAGCAATGTGCGACATCTAGATCTTTTCGTTATTGAGTCTGGTCTAGACTGTTTTAATCAGTAAGTTCAACGTTTATAGATTTGGTTAATTTTCATGTTGTTATTTTAAACCAAACTCTGGCATGCTGCAGTGCTTTTGTGTCCTGTTCTCTCGAATCAATTAAAAAAAAACATATGGTTTACGTTAAAGGAAGTCAATGAGATCTATCAAATTTGTAAGCGTGCCAATCTCTCTTGCGATGTAAGAGGATGTGAATTATACATTACCTTATGCCTGCAATGATAATCTGGCAACTTCTACTATTGATCATCGTCAGAAGTCCATTACTAATAGTAATATTAATTATTAATATCATTATTATTAATACACTGGAAAAAATCGCGCGCTTTAAAGGTTGTAAATTTGATTTAAATATGATGTAAGTGTCTAGAATTCTGTAAATTTAATGGAAATCATTTACATCAAATTTACAGAATTTTGGACACTTACATCATATTTACATCAAATTTACAACCTTTAAAGCGCGCGATTCCAGTGATATGGGCTCCTGTCATCGTATACTTCATCTAAAAGCGTGAAAACGTACGGGCTACTGCTTTGCTGCAATATAGTGTTGATTAGATACTAGAGAACAAAGAAATCAAAGACTACTCACTCGGACTCGTCCAATTATTTCTTAATTGGACAGCATGGAGTCCTTTTTCATACAATAATAATTCCAGTCAGTACAATTAGCACTTTTTTTCACTAAAATGTTTTTCATGGTCTAACTATTTGCACTCAAGCAACTATTTTTAAATAATAAAAATAAACGATTGAAAGACTGGGAAATGAATTGAGAGCAAAAAAAATTGCGTTCATATTTCCCTCACAGTTTTCTCGGATACATTTTATGAATCTGTATTCAAAAAATGCCATCAAGATATAAGGGAATCAGTACTGATGTTGAGCAAATGCTTTTCTAAAGGTACCTGTACAATAATGAAATAAAAGATCTTTCTGCAAGTCTTTTCAAAGGATTGTCGAGTTTGGAACAGCTGTAAGTTTAACTTTATGTTAGAAACATAATCAATATAGCTTAATCATAAGTCCAAGGAATGATGGCGATTGCATGTTTTTAGTTACTTCATATTTTTCTTTTCCGTTGACTTCAACGTATCTTTTTACCCTTAACTAATGACAGTTTATTAGCAATTGAAAAGGTTAGTGTAAATAAACGAAACTTGTTTCGTGCTAAAAAGTCTAAGTGCGTTAAGGCTAAAGATACGTTAAAGTCAACGAAAAAGAAAAATATGAAGTATTTAACAAAGTCTTGTGTGTCCTCGATAAGAAAATTACTGGAAAWTTTTTTTAGTTGAATTTTGAAAAGTTATGTTGTAGTTATATAACTAGGGCGCATTTACACATTACGCTGAATGCCCTTCGTAACATTTGTTTTCCAGGTATCTACATTTTAATCTCATTCCCACTCTTCCATCTGCAATCTTCAGAGGTCTTAGTCGCCTTGAAAGACTGTAAGTAGAGACTAAAGTAAACCAAACTTGAACGAGTTTCTTTTGAATTACATCCAGGCTCAGTATAGCATTATATCACAGTTGGCCATTTTTTTTTKTTCGGTTGCAGTTCCACTATATATTCCCCYACTTGCAGAAACGTTGTCATAGAAAATAGAACATTCGAATTTAGTAAAAAGGAATAAATCAAAACAAGACAAAAGAAAGCGTTCAGCCTCAGTGATCTTCTTTTGTCTTTTTAATTTATTCCTTTTTACTAAAATACAAATGTCCTATTTTTTATGACAACGTTTTCGCAAGGAGGTGTATATTAGATTTATTGATTCTTCATTCAACAGGTATATTCATCATAATAAGCTCAAGACTCTTCCCAATGGATTATTTCAAGACTTGACTTCACTAAAACGACTGTAAGTAGTGTTGTCGAGCAAATCACGATATGTGGGCGTTTATTTTTCAGCACGACTTGTTTTTTTCTCTCTTTATTTCTMTTTTCTTTACGTAGAGAAGCGTTAATCGATGAGGGTCGCATATAGAGGTTTCGTGAGGGGAGGGATTCCAGCTTTGTTTTTAGGTTTCAAGACTGTGAAGATGACGAKTGACTGCAAAATTGCACGAGTATTGCTTGGGATGTACTCCGAGCAAACTGTTGGATATTGATTTGGAAAACAAGGTCCTATATTCCAAAGACTTCGTTCAGGACCCCTAGACCCTAGAACCACCCCTATCACATCCCATGCCAACGTAAGTCTCTATGTAAGATGATTGTTAATTATTTTGCTATTTCTCAGGCGATTGGACTCTAATCAGTTGGTATGTGACTGTGACCTTTTATGGCTGTCTTTGTTTCTTCGTCGAACTCCTAACACTGAAACCGCTGCCACGTGTTTTGAGCCCTTGAGATTCAGTGGACGACCAGTTGTCAGGATAAGACCCTCTGATCTCAATTGCAGTAAGCGAATTTCTATCTAATATGAAATTTACCTGGCCATAACATAATTTTCTCTCTACAGACATCTGGACGTATGTAGCGTTTGAAGCCATCCTACATTTTCCACTCATTTTTCAAATGATTTTATTAGATTCTCCTCGAACAGTTAAGAGCCCAGCAAGCATCGATGTGACTGTGTCTGCTTCCGTGATTAAGTTCAAGTGCAATGTAATTGGCGAACAGACRCCGGTTATCTCATGGTACAAGGACCGAAGACGATTACCRCAACATGGCCGACATGTCATTCATATTGATGGTGTACTGCGTGTCCAACAGCCAACCTTGGACGACGAAGGAGTCTACACATGTCTAGTTAMTAATAATTCTGGAGAACAAGTAGCAGAGGCGTCAGTACGATACGATGGAGTAGATGGTATGAAACTGAATTGTAAAAGCAATTTTTTTTATCAAATGATACGAACAAGATTAAATCACGTTAATGTCAACAATGAGAAACTATTCAATTGGAAATAGTTGTTTCACGGAAACAAAGAGAAAAATGTATTTATGTCCGGAGGATAAATCCCCCTCAAATGTACCAACGATTTCAAGCGGGAAAAAATTTTGCGCAACAAAACATGATTTGCTCCCGAGTTTTGTCTGAACCCTCGCGTATCAAATTGGTTAAATAGCAAGCTTAAGTTAACAGGTTCTTACTCACTTGTAGTCGTACCATCGTTGACGCATTATCCTCAACCAAAGTTTGAATCCATCGCTGGTAATACAGTCACAATGCAATGCCGTGCCACAGGGAAACCAGCGCCAGTTATTCGATGGTTTAAAGATGGTTTAAGAGTGTCGTCGGATTCCAGAATTAGAGTAACTATACTTGGTGACTTGCAGATTACTTCGACACGCAGCTCAGATCAAGGAAGATACGAATGCTACGCAACAAACAAGGTTGGAAGTACAGTAGCTCGCACGAAGCTTGAAGTCACAGGTACCGGATCAAAAACGTTACAAAGGGGGGATGGGAGGGATAACTCAAGAAAAAATATTAAGTGGCAGTATTATGGCTTGGGAAAATGAGGACGCGCACACTGATGACACCATTACGTCTTACGCGCACTCTCAGTTGAATGATCTTCCCCATGAATGTTTAATCTAAATATGTGGAAAAACAATTGCACACGTGCTTCTCGATGCATGTCGCACTTATTGACACTCTCTTGACGTCATAGATTTCAAAATCTTTGCACTTGAGTTTTGAACATTTTATGACGTCAAGAGCGTGACCAGAAGAGGACATATAATTCAAAATGAAGGACTTTTGCGAAGAGGAATATTAACAATCTAAGTAATATATTAACAAAATRCCAAGACATAATTGTAAAATGTATTTATCATTTTGTCATCATCCGTTTACTACGTATTGAGAAAACATCGCATTTACGTAAGGAGATATGTTTTAGATTTGAATGTTCACCTTCTGATAAGAAATCGATATCCGACGGTTAAAAGACATCAAGTCTTTTTTTATATTTTGATTCGTGTTTCTTCTTTTATAAAGCGTCACCTCGTTTCCTGACTAAACCATCGAATGCTGAGGTTCTTGAAGGAAGCTCTGCYTCTCTAGAATGTCGTGCAGAAGGTTTTCCAGCACCAGCTATTGCYTGGACTAAGAATGGAGACCGACTTCCATCGCAAAATCGCCATATCGTCCTYCCYTCTGGAACTCTCAGGATCATTCACGCACGAGACATTGACGAGGGACARTACGAATGCCAGGCYATAAACGTCATAGGTGTTAGTACTGCGCGGGCGTACTTAACCGTGGCTCCAAGAGGTATTATGAAACATAGTTTTCACTAAAATACAAGTAATAATAATGAATTCATAAATCAAATACTTTGTTAAACGCATTTTATTGGTTTATCAAATTTGCTTGTCGTTTCATAGTTCCTCCCAAAATTACCAAAAAACCCRACGACCAGACAGTCAACTCTGGACAAACRGTCCAAATAAGCTGCGAAGCTACCGGTGCTCCTCGTGCAATGATATCATGGATCAAAGATAACGTACACATCACCGAGGGCAACAGGTATTCAACCAATCAGCAAGGTGTATTGACTATACGTGACGTGTCCAAGGCAGATGAAGGTCGATATGAATGCGCCGCTAGAAATAGCATTGGTATTGCTACTGCATTTATGGTACTCAAAGTAGATGGTACGTCTGATAGCATGTAATGTATAATATTAGTTATCAGTTTTCAGAGTCATTCTATATTCAACAACAATTGAGGGAATTAATAAAACCCTGGTGATTTCTGCGTTACAGGCCATACATTGCTAACGAAAGCATCTGTTTATATTTCAGTGTCAGACCTTAAGTTTATTGGTGACAAGTTTGTGAATGAGTCCATTGGCCAGGCAATCAGCAGTGTCGATCGCGCCCTCAAATCAAGCATTAGGAAACTATTCCGCAGCTCTAAACCTCGATCACCAAGCGATCTTTTGGCTCTTTTCCGCTTCCCTTCTCCTCAAGCTCAGCAAATTGCTCGCGCAGCTGAAGTGTTTGAGAGGACAATACAGCTTGTGCATGARCACGTTGCAGGAATTAATATGGTTAATGTAACTGACGGAAAATCAACGAGCTACTTCGACCTTCTTTCGCCAGCTTACATCAACATGATTGCCAATCTATCGGGCTGTCATGCACACAGACAGAAAGACAACTGCACTGATCTTTGCTTTCATTTGAAGTATCGCTCTGCGGATGGAACGTGCAATAACTTGCAGCATGCCATGTGGGGTGCGTCTTTAACGCCGTTTAAACGTCTTCTTAGTCCTGTTTATGAGAATGGATTCAACGATCCTATTGGATGGAGCAATACATCGTCGATACCCAGTGCAAGGCTTGTATCAAGAGAAATAATGTCGGCACCTAATGTCACCGATGATAACGAATACACACATATGCTTATGCAATGGGGACAATTCTTAGACCATGACATTGATTTTACTGTAACAAGTCTTAGTTTCTCAAGGTTCCACGATGGAACTGATTGTACATCAACCTGTGAGAATAATAACCCTTGTTTYCCCATACAGATTCCTGAAGGAGATCCACGAATTACCCGGGCACGTTGYATGCAGTTTACTCGCTCTAGCCCAGTATGTGGTACGGGTACTACTTCAGTGTTTTTTAGCAATGTCCATCAGCGGGAGCAAATGAACCAAATCACGTCGTTCATTGACGGATCAAACATTTACGGTTCCTCAGACGAAGAGTCGAGGAATYTACGAGATGTGCGCAGYCGCGGACTGCTCAAGACAAGCCCAGCTGTAGATATTAAAGGAAAACCACTTCTGCCATTTAATACAGACTCCCCTATTGAATGTTTGCAGCCACGTGATAGCCCAGTCCCATGCTTCCTTGCGGGTGATTTTCGAGCCAACGAACAACTTGGTCTGCTGTCAATGCACACACTATGGATGCGCGAACACAATCGTATCGCAAAGGAGCTTGGTCGTTTGAATGCTGACTGGAGTGGGGACAAGATTTACCATGAGGCACGTAAAATYGTAGGGGCTGAATTACAACACATAACGTTCACTGATTGGTTACCTAAAGTTATTGGACCCAGAGGAATRAAGTTAATGGGAWCCTATCAAGGATACGATCCTAATGTAGAATCTTCCATYGCAAATTCCTTTGCGACTGCGGCGTTTCGTTTCGGACATAGCTTAATAAACCCGATTATTTACCGTCTTAACARTACTTTYCAACCAATTGAACATGGTAATATACCCYTACATAAAGCTTTCTTCTCGCCGTACAAGATCGTCAACGAGGGTGGTATCGATCCTGTGCTGCGTGGTTTATTTGGTACAGCGGCTAAAAGCGCGAGTGACAAAAGCCGACTGTTAAATAGCGAATTGACTGAGAGACTATTTGAAATGGCTCATGCAGTCGCACTTGACCTTGGTGCTCTAAATATCCAACGTGGGCGCGACCACGCCTTGCCAGGTTACAATGCTTGGAGAGGTCTGTGCAATCTATCCATTGCTGAAACATTTGAAGACCTTAAAAATGAAATAACCAACCCTAAAATTAGGAATAAATTGAAGAAACTTTACCGGMACCCTTCAGATGTGGATTTATGGGTAGCAGGCCTTTTGGAGGACATGGAACCAGGAAGCAGGATTGGAAAAGTATTTACTTGTTTGATTGCGGATCAATTTAAACGACTCAGAGCAGGGGATAGGTACGGACCGTCAATAGACTTCTGACTCTTTTACTTCACCTACTTGATTTACAATCCAATGTGGGATCAGTTTCTGCTGAAGAAATTGATAATTGAAAATTATATGGAGATATAGTATCATTCCTGAAAAATTCTTAGATATTGAATGCCAATATAACTATGCCTGAGATGCACGTCGTTGATTATTATTTTTGCTATAAGAAACATGTTTCCATCCCAAGTGATGTCTTTTGTACTATTTATTCCAGGTTTTGGTATGAAAACCCTGCAACCTTCAATCCAAGTCAACTAACTCAACTTCGTCAGACTAGCTTGGCACGTGTTTTGTGTGATAATGGRGACAATATTCAACATGTGCAAAGCGATGTCTTCAGACGTGTGGGATACCCTAGTGGATATGTGTCCTGTTCCACTATACCTAAACTTGATCTGCGATTATGGAAAGACTGTTGTGGAGGTAATCATTTATTTCAGTACCATATGTTAGAAGCATAATAAAGCATGATCCGCACCCCCAAAAACCGCTAGTTTTAAGGATTAAAGTTATATAGTCAGAATATATGCAGACCAACCCTAAATTTCACTTTCACAAACAAACTGCGTAGTCTATGGCTCTCTATATTTGATGATGTTTTTATGTTTCAGACGGCCAATGTTCTGTCGCAGACCAAACGTTTACGTTTAGCACGAATTTAAGAAGTCGAGTAAAGCGCTCAGCTGATAACAATGGGAGTGTACCCAAGCAGTCGAATGCTTTCTACTATGGAAAAATCCCTTCATTTCCCAAGGCATATTCACCAAAAAGAAAAAGAAAAATCGCCGTCAAGTTGTTTGAGGCGTTAAAACCAGATAATCGACAAGAGGAAAGAGCGAAGAGAAAAAACCGTAAATTGCAGAATAAAATGAAAATGTTAGCAAATAAAGTGAATGCATTAGAGAAGACGGTGATGTCTATGGCTCAAACACTTAAAGTCATGCAGGGAACTATAGAGTCTTTAAAGAATGAGGTTAGTCGTAAACTATATAGCTGGGTGGCTGGCTGGTTTTAAGTTGTTGATTTGTTGGTTGACTCGGACCGGTTGATACGTCTAACCAGTGCATGATTTCGTTAATCTATCGACCGGTTGGTGGATAAGCTAAGAGTGACATTGTTGTTGGATTAGTTTTCTTTAATTTTCTTTAATTTCTTCCTCCCTGTGGTCTAAATTTGGTCATTTAATAATTTATTTCGTCATCTAAATTATTTTTTTCCCATCTTTAGCTGCTCATGAGAAGAAATGGTTAATAAAGAATGCATGGGATCCAGTCAGYAATAATGGCTGATTCATCTAAGCTGTTCTCGTCCCGTATGCACACTGAATTTACRGTCATCTTGGTCCCAAACCTTCACCTACTATATCTTAACGAAGGGAAAGCTGTTAACTAACTCCATTMCTCTTTAAAATATGGCCATTTGTATGTTTTTGTTTTGTTTATAATAAGAAAGAGAATAAATCAATGTAAAGCATAGAGCGCGGCGCAGGCTAAGAGGGATATTCATGATGCCAACAGCGCTAGAATGTATGGCTTAATGTAAATAGTAGTGTAATGTTTTAAACGTAGATGTCAGAAAAGGAAAGGCTTTTTTAAGATAAATAAAATTTTACAGCTGTTTTGTTATAACTTTAATTTCCATGT